GGGCGACCGATAGCGCCCGAAATAGCTGTGTCTTTTCCGTGAGGAAATGCCTGCAGGTTGGGAAAAAGCAGCAATTGCGGGAGGAGGCAGTGCTGAAGCGCTGAGTATCTGGCTGGTGACAAGAGCGCCAGGCCTCTGCGCTTGATCCTGAAATCTCTGTGCGGCTGCTGTACTGCAGGGAACCTCTGGCTGCTCCCTCTGCCCACTTCAAATCTGTTAACGTCAAGGTGAATATGAGTTTTCTTCAGTCTCACCTTTCCAGACATTGAACTTTGTCCTGCTCCTCAGTTTTGCATAGTTAGAAGAAGAATGTTGTTTTTCTTCCCACAGATGAGATGTGGAAATGTGTTAGATTAACCCTGTTTATCAGGGAAGAGAGGGATACAAGGTGCAGAATGAGGATGTGGTCAGTGGCCTTAGGGTTATGACATTATATTGCCTTAATTCTGCAGCAGAAAGCTTTTAGTGTTACTGGTGTAACCCCTGTGTTGTTAACAGGTAGTTGGTAGCTACTGACCGTGGCTGTGAGACAAGGAATTTCTGACTTCTGCCAAACCCCCGTCAGCAGCATGTGTGTGTGAACTCTGTGTTAGTTTTATATCTTCACTGTACATAGCAGTCTGGCACAGTATTGCTCTTGACTTTTTGCTGTTGCTGATGCTGCTGTGAAAGTGTGAGAGAGGTCAGAAGTTGGGTTTTGAATAAGGGGTTAAGGCCTAGCAAGGAAAATTTGCCCCAGAACTGTTATCAAGCAGGCATGTTATATTGCAGAAATTGCAAGTTGAAATCAATAAATGTTTAAATATGTCATAAACCACTCATCTCATTGTCACGGACATTTGAGTTGCAAGAAAATCTTTACAAATGGTGTAGCTTTTTTTTTTTTTTTTCTAGATAACATATCTTGTTGGGGTAGTATGTGTCATTTATGAAATAGAAGAGATAAGTGTAAATGTTGTCACTCTTTCTTTCCAGATATTTTTATTTAAAATAGATACAATGGCGACATTAATTCACACTTTAGCCGATCATAGTGATGATGTCAACTACTGTGCCTTCTCTTCCTCGTGCCTGGCTACGTGTTCCTTGGACAAAACAGTGCGCCTTTACTCTTTGACCGACTTCGCCGAGCTTCCCTACTCGCCTTTGAGAGGCCACACGTACGCTGTCCACTGCTGCTGCTTCTCGCCCTCGGGACACGCTCTGGCCTCGTGCTCCACAGATGGCACCACCATGGTCTGGGACGCGCGCGACGGGCGGAGGCTGGCGGTGCTGGAGCAGCCCAGCGGCAGCCCGGTTAGAGTCTGCCGCTTTTCTCCCGAGTCCACATATCTCGTGTCAGGAGCGGCAGATGGGAGTGTGGTTCTTTGGAATGCACAGTCACTGAAATTGTACAGGTGAGACCTGGGTGTTTTTTTACAGTCTTGTTACCAAGCATAGAATTTATTGTAAGTCCTGGTCTTTTAGTGTGTTGTACTGTGAACAGGACTTGCATGTTTATGCCACTAATTTAGGTCATTTTTTTTTCCTATTTTTTTTTCTTATTAAGTCAAATAATGCAAACTCGGGAAGCTTTGATTTTTATGCAAGAATATTTGGAGTCCAGGAAAATTCTAGAAGATTAATAATCCTTCTAAATCTTTATAATCTAGCAATCCAAAAAGCGTGGAAAGCAATGACACAAACCATATTGTTTCAGGATAAGTTTTAAATGCCGATGGAAAGAATGGAGTATTGGAGATGAATTAGTTAGCATGATAATTAGCATTTCATCTGGGTTTGCAGGACATAGTAACTGTTTGAAGTGAAACAGATTGCTTTTAATGATATTGTGCAGTCAAAGGTCTGAACCTTGGAGAGATTCTCAAAATACTTTTCTGTATCTCAAAATGTAAATGAGGCCTTCAGCCTGGATACTGTATTTTGTACTTAGGCAAGCTATTATTAAAGATTTATACCAGCAATTACACAGTATCTCTCTAAAATCTGGAAATAAGAAATTTGGAAAAATTTATGAAATGTTCCATTCTTCCTCAGGATGATGACTGAGCGACCATTGTTTAAATCCAGACTTACTTGTTTTCTGTTAATCCTCTGTCAAGCATATTACTGCTCTTGTGGCCTCTCTACCTCTGTCTTCCACAGCAGCGCTTCTTTTTTTTTTTTTTCCAAATGATTTAATTATCTGAAATCTTTAATCATAAACAGACTTCTAATGGATTTGCCACTTCTTGTTGACTGTAATGCATACAGAGCCATGAAAGGATTCTTTTGTTTGAAGAGAATAGTGAATGATTGATTATTTTCTGCTTCTTGGTTTTATCTTTTAGAAAAATCAGGAATGTGTTTCATTTCATTCATAAGTGCTGAAGCATAAGGTTTACCTGTTTGAAGTATTACTGGTGACTACAATTTATATAAATTTATATATTTATATTCACCAATTTATATTGGTGACTACAATTTATATTCAGCATGCTAGTGACTGAAGGGTGGAAAACAGTAATGGTAAAAAGTAATTTCTTTAGAAATATTTACTTTTAATACATGCAATGAGATCTGTAACTTAGCTGATTGATGCATATAAGAAATATGCAGAAAATATTTTTTTCTTTTTTTTTTTTTTTAACATAACGTTACTCCTTTTTGGTGTTTACATCATAGAGAAACAATAAAGAGTTTAAGCCTTCCTCTCCCTTCCCCTCTTACTTCATAAAAGTTTATTGACGTGTTAATTGGTATTAATTACCTCTGAAAGGAGTTAAAATTGATATCAACAAAAGAGAAATTTACAGAATACAACAAAGAAGGAAAAATGTTTTTCTCTCTGGAAATGAGGTTTATTGTTGTGGAACTGGTGTTTATATTTATGATTTCTCCACCTCAAAACCTCTACTTAAATATTCAGCTATGCATGCTGGGCCTTGTGTTAGGAACTCTGTTAGGAACACATTTTGGAACTCTTTGCATTGTTGATGTCTGCCCTCTCGTACCAAGTTCCAAAGTTAAGTTCAGCAGTTGGTTTATTGTATCAATGAACCAACTATCTAGTGTATGTATTCTCATATAGAGATCAGGGCTTCAAAACATCACTTCTTGTAAATTCAAATTTACACTTTTGCTTTTCAGATCCGGGAATGTTAAAGATGGTTCTCTGGTGGCCTGTGCGTTTTCTCCTAATGGAAATTTCTTTGTCACTGGATCATCATGTGGTGATTTAACCATTTGGGATGATAAAATGAGATGCCTGTATAATGAAAAAACACACGATCTTGGTGTTACCTGCTGTGATATTTCTTCACGGCCAATTTCTGGTTAGTTACTTGACTCTTCCGGAGAGGAGCGTGGAAGAAGAGTTATTTTTCTATAGTAATGCTTTTTATCATCAATGCTCTAGATTAACAAATGACAGTTTTCCGATGATGCTTCAGAATATTCTGAATACTTTTAATTAAAAGCTGTGCTGAGTTTGATGAAATGTAGTATGTAAATAAAGTGATTAGCATGCTTATGATATTAGCATTCTTTTAGCAGGTAATTATCCTGCCTGGCCTTTGGAAGATGTTTGGGCAGTGCCTGCGAGTCAAGCCAGCAGTCTGCTGGGACTGAGAAGGGTGCTAGATGATGCAGTGCCACAGTACCTTTCAACTTTACTCTTTCATAGCTTGTTGACTGATAGCAGATTGTTGATAGCAGGTTGAATGTTTCCCCTGCACCTCTCTTGCTGTTTTGGAGGAGTTATGGGGATCAGTGAGCCTACAATATCGTTTGTCTACTAAGACATGTTTCAGTAGTAGTGCAAGGTGCTCTGCAGTGACTGTTTTGACATTGGCGCAGAACAGCCAAAAACATTGTGAAAACACTAGAGTGCAAAATGTTTAGAGAGCCTCATTCCCCTCATACTCATTCCCTGTAATTCCTCATTACAGAACTTGAAAGATGAGCCCTTGAAGCATCTGTTACATCTTTCTGATTTCCAGTCTTAATACTGGTGATGCTTGTAATAGTGCTAAGACTTGGTGCCTGTATCTTCCACATGTATCTCCATGAAAGTCAGCTTACCTGTAATGTACATGTGAAACTTCATCCTTGTGTGAAGAGAAGCTCATAACTGTTTTCTTCCTAAGCTGAAAGACAAGTAGAAGAATTAGATGGTCTTTTCTTCATGGTTTTCCTTACATGCACTACTGTTCCCTTCTCTTATTTTGGTCACTGTACCTGCTCATTCCCTAGGGCAAGGGATCAGATTCTAGAGTTTGCATACAGCTTCTCATCATTTTAACAAGCCATTTAAACTGCCCTTCTTTAATTCTAATCATGTGAAAAGCTGAGTGGGGTTTATTATCTAAAGGGGGAAAAAGTCGCAAGGCTATCTGTCCTTTAGAAATTGTGAGGATGCTGTTACAAAACTTATCTAGATTTTTCAGTAGTTGTTTTAATCCCATAAGAAGGTAAATAAAAATGGATTTAAGATGTGTAGGCTTAGGGCAAATTATTTGTGTAAAGATTTGGAAAAAGAACAAAGATTTTGGCAATGGTTTACTTTATTTTGATTATTCCAGCCTTCTAAAATATTGAGAGATGTGTGCCTTGACAAAGAGAAAAGGGTATGACCATTTTTCTAATCCTTTGAAAACAGAACTAGATTCTGCTTATTCAGTAGACACCTTAATGAGCTAAAGGCTCTAGCCTGAGCAGCATCTTTTACTCTTGTTTTTGTAATCATGTGTGCGTGTACCAGTGGTGAGGTTTTAGCCCACTAGTGTGAGGGTAAATACATATATATATATAGCCCACCCTATGTATGTAGCCCACCAGCTGTATATGTAAAACAAACTAAATTTTTGGATCCTCTGTTTATAGTTAGTGCAGGGAAAACTGTATCATGTGCTGTGTGATGCACAATATTTGTTTAAAAATGAACTGATTGGCACTACCCTTAAAAGATTTTTCTAACTATTATATTTCATTTTCAATAACTAATACGGTATTTCTCAGAGTGGTTTGCTGCACTTTGTTTATAAAAATGACAAGTAAAATATTTAAAATGCTGAAAATAGTCTACAAAATACTACAGTACTTAATACAGGCATATGGTGGTTTTAAAGTTTGAGGAATACTGAACTATAAAGGAAATGTCTATAACCATATAATTTAGATTTAAAGACTACAGTCTTGCACCCAGAAGATGAGAGTCGTTTACCATTAATGAAACTTAAAATAACAGCACAGTAGTGCAGTTTTGGCCTTTATTGACATGTTCACAAAGCAATATAAAAGTGACATCTATTTCTTACATGCAAAAGATTTTACAGCTTGTGCAATTTTTTTAGCAACACCCAAAGCACTGAGATTAAGGAGACCTATCAAATGTTCGTGTAGGAATGCTGACTTAGTTGTGCATACCCGTTTTTTCTTTCCTGTGCTTCTGAGTCTCCTTAATATTTTTGAATTTTATCAGATGGCGAACATGAGTCCAGATACTTCCAAATGGCTTCTTGTGGTCAAGATAATCAGATCAAACTCTGGCTTATTTCGCTGGCAGATTTCTTAGGTGTGTAGTGTTTTTTTCTTTTTCTTTTTTTTTTCTTATCCGGTTATCTTAATATAAAGTAAAGAAGCTAGAGAGGTGAAAGTTATGTTGCCTCTGCAATCTTACATCCTCTTTATCTATAGGCAACGCCACAGTGTCAGGTATTTGAGACACCTTTATACTTTTTTAAAGGAGGTTATCTTATACCAAATCGACTGTTTTCATATGTAATCATTTGGTTTTTGTATTTTTAGGTGCTGAATTAAAATATAAATGCACATTGGGTGGACATTCTGCCCCAGTTCTGGCTTGTGCATTTTCTTATGATGGGCAGATGTTAGTTTCAGGGTAAGTAGTATCTTTTACTTTTTAAAATTGCATTTAACTCTCTCATTTGTTATGGTCGGTAGTGTTTCATGTCCTGTCTGGATGTTTCCCAACCCCAGGCCAGGGCCTTAGCAATGACAGGAAGTTAAGAAAGTTGAATTTGTTCAGCCATAAGAAAGGGCTTACAGGGTGGGGAGGACAACGGATGGCATTGCCGTCCTCCTGTTAGGAGGATGTAGAGACCATGGAGCCAGACACTTCTCAGAGGTGTCCAGGGATAGGACATGAGGCAGCAAGTGTAATTTGGAATATCGGAAATTCTTCCTAGATTTAAAGAAAAGAAAAGAAATGTTGTTCTACCATCAGGTTGGTTGGACATTGGAATGGTTGCCCAGAGAGCTCATGAGATTCTATTAGAGATACTTGAAGATGGATGTAAAATCAAGAGCAGTTTAAAAATAGTTCCTTTGTAGTAATTACATGTATATACATATATCTAAGTATTCTACACATGTAAGTATAGATTTCAAGAATGATGCATGTCATATATATATTTTTTGTTTACATTCAGAGTCTGATATTGAACTACCCAAATGCATTGACATTTTAAAAACCATTTAAAAAATTCTATATGGATATGCAGCAACCGCTTATATATACCATCACTTAGGTGGTATCATCTATCTCATACAATCTTACAAGAAACACTGTTATCATGGCAAAAAAAAGCTATGCAATTTGTGTATCAGGAAGCATTTTGCATACTGCATTGCATCACTGCCTCTAGTTCACCTTGTAAATGAAAATGTTTCAAAAATAAAAAGAAATGTTGAAAGTAAATAATGGATATCATGATGCTGTGCAGAGTGAAGGTGGTATTACAGGTACTTTTTTCAAAAACCTAAACTGGACATGGTAAAGACAGTGGGAAGAACTAGGGTTGGGAGCAGTTGGCGTAAATCCTGTACAAATCGTCTACATCAGAAATGCTCTTGGAAGTGCACTGTTTTTGGAGATAGCTGTTAGCTTTTACTTTATGCTGTATGTCCATCAAATCAGTGTTCTCTCTGTAAGTTGGATATGGGTGGATGGAGGGGATTGTTATCTACCTTTTTTAAGAAAGTGATTGCTGAGATCTGTTTTTTTCTTTTTAATTGAAAATTATTTTGTTTTCTTACTCCTTTCTGTGCATCTTTATTATATTTGAAAGGTCTGTGGACAAATGTGTCATAATATATGAAACTGTAAGTATATTATAATGCACCACTGCTTCTGCAGTGTTTCATTAAGATAAGGACATATTAGAGAATAAGTACTAGTTACTGTATAAACACAAAGTATTTGCTGTGCATTTGAGGGGAAGGGAGGAGGGTTGAGACATGACTGTTCGGGAAAAAGTCTCAAATGTCTCTTGAGAACTGATCAGTCCCTCTTTCATAATTTTTATTTCTTGAGGATTTGCTATTTGATTTCTCTACTGTCTTTTATTATTCACTGAATCTTGTATTTATACATTACCTTCTTATTGAAGCAGAAGAATTTTTGTTGATCTTAAATTTCATCTTAATGCTTAAAGCAAGAAAAACTGTAGCTTTTGATGTAAGAAATTCAGGAATAGTGATTATAGAAATTCTTTATTAAATTATACATAAAGTACATAGAAGCATAATGAAGACTTCACTTCATCTGCTAGAAAAATATGTATTAAATGTACTGTCCTTTAAAACTTATGACATTATCTGCAGTACTTTGTGGTTCACAGGTGCATAATATTTACCTTAGCATTTTGTAGTACTTAAAATACTAATTTTGCGGAAAATTGAGGATGAACAAATCTTTAAACTTTGTAAGCTTGATCTACAGATACTCAATTGTTTTATATATATATATATATATATATCTTGTCTCATCTCGGATGGAAATTGCACTCAGAATATATATATATATATATAAAAAAAATTAGGATTATATGTTGTTTTCCACCAAAATGCTTAAATGTATGCCTTCCGAATTTTGGCCCAATTTTATTAGTAGTTTGATGCTTAGGCTGGTATGTCATTAACCCTCTAGATTTATGGACCTCCCCCCCACCAAAAAAAAAGTGAGTGATTCTTAAATGTTTGTATTACTAGTATTTGATCATTCTTTTAGCTTCTTCTTCTTCTTCTTTTTTTTTTTCTTCCCCTAAAACATACAGGAATAAGATTCCAGTCTCATGTTGTTATAGGTGGGGCCGATAACCTTACATGGGAGGGAAGAAAGTTTCACTCTAAAGTAGGACACTTATGATCAACAGTTCAGAAAAAAAATGGAGTGCTCACTGATCAATTAGTGTATCAGTAAAACTTTGAAATAACTTTCCTCTTAATCTTTTAATTCTGTCTGGAGCTATCAAAGAAATTTTATATTTCAAAAGCAAGGAATCTTGCGGATCGTAGGTTAAAACTATGCAGAAATGATGGAGTTTGCTTTTGTAGCTAGTATCATCTAGCGGTCAAATAGGTGAACCACAGATTGTAATCTTTGATCTAATTTTGCCCTGTTTCTTAAATATTATAACTTGAAGTCTACCTGAATTTCAGTTACTCATTCCTCTATGTCATTTTTAATCCTAAAATAATTAGAAATGTTTCTATCTGCATAAGCAGTCAGCTGATTGATACAGAACTTTGGAAAAATACAATAAATTCAGTTGATATTTCTAAAATTGAAGTTCCATGTTAGTTTATTGTTGAAGGATAGCCAAATTCCAGTGAATTTAAGAGAGCACTTCAAGCAGGAAGTTTGAGTTACACTAATAAAGATGATGAGAATCAAAAATGTAACTTCTCTGAAAGTGACTTCTGTCACTTTTCAAAATGATGATTCATTCTTACTCATTTTTGTAAGAAAGTACATAGAGGGAATATATATATAGTATATATATCATAAATAGATTATACAATCTAAGCATAATATGTGCATATGTATTTATATATGGTGTGTGTGTATATATATTTTAATTTAAAAATTCAAATACTTCTTTCTCAGAGTACTGGCAATATCCTTCATACATTGTCTCAACATACCAGGTATGAATTCAGTACAATTCTTCTGTTTTACCACTACTACCAAAAAAAAGTAAAATCTTTTAATGTTATATTTCACAAATTTGTTTTCATTTCTAGATATGTTACAACTTGTGCTTTTGCACCGTGTGTTCTCTTGCTTGCCACAGGTTCAATGGATAAAACTGTGAATATATGGCAATTTGACCATAAACAACGCTGTTCAGGTTCGTTTATGAAATATTTGTAACTTTTCCCTAATACTTTAGGCACATTATTATCATATATCTTCTGAAGATGCACAAAAGCCTTTTCTTTTTTACCTGAATTTAGCCTATAAGCTTTATGATTTCATGGCATGATATTTGTTGTATCTCTGAAATGATTTTCTTTGTGCCCTAGACAGGTGTTTTCTTTTTATTTTTTAATTAAAAGTTATATTAGAAATATTTTAATTTTACTGATATCCTATATATTCTTAATTGATATTCTCCTTTTCTTGTTCCTAGACATCATTTAAGAGATAAGTGTTATTCCTAGAATAGTAAGGCTTTTATTCACAAGTAACACTGGCAAAGGATTAAACAAAAATATACTAATTGCAGGCATAATTGTGAACAAGAAATTGTGCTTGCTATTTAGATGAAATAGGTTAATTAATGTTACACTGTACATTGACGCATAAAGTATATGAAATAGATCTTTGTTGAAACCGCATTAAGTTTAGCATTCAGTCTGCTTTTCTAAAGTACAGTTGTTTTAGTGATTGCTGACACTTTTCAGTATTTTAGTTTAATTCAGATATAATAGCAGATTCACCTGTAAGCCATCACCTAATAAGATTAAATTTAGATTAAATTCTTCTGAACTTTGAAATTAGACAGGTAAAGGACAAACCCAAATTACTGGCCCCACTGAATGAAGATCTAATAAGGACTTTTTTTTTTATTAGACCTTGCAGAGTGTTTAGTAGTGAGAGCACTTGGAAAAGTTGTTACTGACATTGTTCTTTCTTTTTTTTTAAAAAAAAAAAAAGGCAACAATGAACCAAAAAACATCTCGGACTGACTGACTTCTATCATGTTTCTTTCCCCTCCTCCCCCCCAAGGAAATATCATACAAAATGAATCTAAGATGGCTGTTGAGAATTGGTCAGAGGAAGATGTTTTGGCCTGGCTTCATGCGCAGGGCTTAGCAGAGCTTGTTGGGATTTTCCAAATGAATAACATAGATGGCAAGGAACTTCTGAATCTTACAAAAGAAAGTCTGATGAATGAATTAAAAATTGGTAAGCCTATAGAAAGCCTAACAATTTTTAACTTTTAGAGTATGTATGAAATCTTGGGATGAGAATACATATATGGATTTTTTTTTTTTTTTTTTCCTCCCTACATTATTTTTATTTACCATACCAGATCAAAAATACTACTGATGTCACCTTATCCAAAATATAGTTTTGAGGAGTTTTTCTTATACCTGGAGACATGAAATATACTTCTACCAATAATCCTTTGTTAGGTGGTATCTTTGATCGCACTGATTTTGTCTTTTTTTTCCTCCACATTGCATTATAGAACATGTTGGTTTTCTTGTCTTTCTCTTTTGGGTTTGAGGGTTCACGTTAAGTACTTTCTTATGGTCCTAAGAAGACCTTTCCACTTGCTCATATTTATCACAGAATGTAGCTGTGAGACTAAGTTTGAAAACAAGCAGTTATCCTAAAAACAGGTTCTTAACCGGATTTGCAGAGAGCCGGTATAGACGCAGGAGCCACAGGTGCTTCACTGCTGTGCAGGGGTGGGTGCCAGGAGGTACCTGTGCTGTTAGAGCACGCACTTTGTGCTTATTTACACTGGTTCTGGAAATGCTTTATGCAAAGCTTTTAATTGGTTGTGTTTTGACTGTATCACACCACTTTTGCACTTGTGCTGTAATGCCTTGACTAATTAATTATCCTGGAGGGGTGGTAACCTTATTATCATGTCATTATTCAGTTAGGGGCATGAAAGTTGATACGTTAGTAAGCTTTAATGGGCTATAGGTTATCCTAAATTGTTTTGTCAACTCCTCAGGTTCTTCCGAGTGTTGGTGCTTCCCGTATCATTCTGCTGAAACTGGTTATTCTCTGATACAGTGATTTGCAACATTTTTGTCTTGAGACCACCCTCCCCTTGTCCGTGTTTCTGGTTAGCTATTACAGCGTTCCTGTGATCTCATTTCAACACAACCTTCTGGAGTAGAATGTGAAGCACTCACTCATGCTACACCCTGCCTGATCCTGCAGTAGGATCCGCAGAGCTATCGCCAGCAGCAGGAGCGCGTGGCAGTTAGTCCAGGTGTTTGCAGTGTGACTGTAAGGGTGTCTGTGGCTTTTCCTGTAGCAGGTGGGGATGGAGCGAGGGCTTTGCAGTACTAGGTAAGGCAAGAAAAGGTTCTTTGTCTGCCATTTCAGTGTTTTTCACTTAACGCACCAATAACTTTTCAGAGTCTTTAGGTCTGCGCAGTAAAATTCTCCGCAAAATTGAAGAACTGAGGGTGAAAATGGAATCTGTTTCTGTTGCTATCCCAGATGAATTCTTATGTCCTATAACAAGGGAGCTAATGAAAGAGCCTGTTATTGCAGCTGGTATGTTTTTGAGCAACTTTTATCAAAACAAATGGTTTAAGGGTTTAAAAAAAAATAGATGTAGGACACTAAAGATGGACGTAACTTAGCGGTTCTAAAAGGATAAATAGTGCTAAACAGTTCTGCACCAAAATAAAACTGGTTGTAGCTGTTTAACTTGTCAAATTATTGTATCTGATAATGAGAAATGCTCTGTTGTGCAAGTCTCTCAATGTGTTCTCTGCTGGTGGCTTTTTTTAAACGTTTTTCTTTTTTGTGCCTCTGCACTTAGATAATTACAGACTTTCCTTGGCCAGTGTACACAGGAAATGCGCACACAGATAAGAAACAAAAACCCGTTAGTAACGTGCAGCACATATAGGGCATTTAAAAGTTAGCACTGTATGAGCTCAATTTAAATCAACAAGATCGAACTGAGCGAACTGAAGAAGTCAGGAAGCTGTTTTATAGTCGAAACGTTTTAGTGAAGAGCGGCTGCTGCCGAGCTCTGCTGTGTGTGGCGGGGCGGGCAGGTGAGACCAGAGCAACGGGAGGGAGGTGGTTCCCGCGGCGCCCTCCCTCCTGCCCCCAAACCCGCGGTGGCTCCTGGGGCGCTGCGCAGGGGGGCAGTGCCCCCCGCCACGGGTTTTGGCCCTCTTTCCCCCTCTGCAGGGGGTAGCTCAGGTGCAGCTTCATGCGCTAACATGGCTTAAACCCCTGCCCCTCCTCCAGGAAAAGGCTGCTTTGGCCAATGGCCGTTGCTGGCATGGGCACCTCGGCACACGCTCCAGGAGCAGAAATTACCCTCCCTCTGCTACTGCTACCTCCGCTAAGAAGCATCCACAGAGAAATTTTCCAAAAAAGAGAGTATCCAACTTAACTCTTTGTGTCTACCCCTCCACCCCATGTATTTGGCCCCTGAAGCCCAAAATCCTTTCTCAAAACAGCCACAGCTGAAGCTGGCTCTTTGGTCTAATGCTTTAGCCAGAGTTTTTAACCATGTGTGAGAATTTTCCCTTGAGCAATAGGCATTGTTAGCATCATCTATGAAACTGTGCAAATTTAACTAATGAATTTAGTGTTTGTTTTTTTTTAATTGCTTGTACTAGCTAGCCTCTAGACTAGTTGCAGAAGTTGTAAAAAAAAAATTGATTTTAATACTAGTGTATGAAGTTTTATTGGAGTATAGTTAAGTGTGTAACTTCAATTTTTTTTTGAACAAAAAGATGATGCATGATCTGCTACGAGTTTTTGTAGATGTTGTAGACAAGGAAGAGAGAGGCTCTTGTTAGGGCAGGGGAGAAAACGAAGTGCAACAGTGCCCAAGTGTCTGTAACTTCAGCTTTTGGTGACGGTTTTCTTTGCAGATGGCTATTCCTATGAAAAGGAGGCACTGGAAAACTGGCTCAACAACAAGAGACGCTCCAGCCCCATGACAAACCTCCCCCTCCCCTCCCTTCTGCTCACACCCAACCGGTCCCTCAAAGTGGCCATCGGCCGCTGGCTGGAGACCCAGCAGAAACGTAAGGACAGCACTGAGCTTTAACCGTGTTTATTACAATTAACTGAAATGAAGCTGGATGTAGCTGAACAAAATAACTGCATTGGAAACAACTGGAAATAAAAATAACTATGTTCTAACCTATGACTGTCACTTAAGTGTTTATGTTTAAAAAAAAACACACGTACAAAAAACTGGTGCCTCCAAAAAAACACTGAACAACTTTTTTTCTGAAGTTACTGGTATCTTAACTGCACACTATTTCTGTTTGAAAAAAAATCAAATGTTCAAATTCACAATTAGTTATAATGAAGCAAAAATTCTAAGTCTTGATTTTGCAAAGAATCTTTCAGAAGTTAAGGAATATTGAAGTGTGTAATCCTATTCCCATTTAAAATACAAAAAAAGTCCTTTTTTCCATGTTACTAAACATGCAGGGAGTATTTTTCCTGTAACTGTCAGATTGCACCTTATTCCACAACTATATTAATAGTCTTTATTTTGTATGGAAAAATACAGTAGTTGTGCAAAAACAGAACTACGGGACAAGAACAGTAAGACTTGTACAAAATATCAAAGAAACAGTAAAAAATAAATAAGCTAAAGCGTAATAATGCAAACTCAACAAGGAACTTTTAAGAATGGATATAAGGCAGTTTACAATGTATACACAACACTGTACACAAACAGGAATAGAAAAGTGATTGAATATGTTGAGCTGATCACCCCAACCTAATCTGACTCATAGGAATGTCACTACATCTGGTTATTTTCCGAACAGTCTTGCAAATATAAAACCTTTTTTACTTTGAAAAATACTTCACAACTTCATCCTAAAAAACAACTGCACCTAGACTTTTCCTCAAACTTTCATCCTCACTCCCTTCCTTGGATTTCCTATACAAACACTTTATAAGCATTTCATTCCTGTACCTTTTTTTCTCCATGAAAAAGGCCAAAATATTTTCCTTTAAGGTAGCACCCAAAGGTGAGTAGATAAACTATATAAAGTGCGGTTACTGTTAACATGCCATAATAGTGTTACTCAGTGCAATAACCAATATGGTCAAAGCCTTTCAATGCACATGCAAATGTCACTGCTTATTTTACTTTTTTTTTTCTCCTTATAGTTACTAAAAGGTTATTTACATGTCCAAACATGGTTGCTTGTAGTTTACTCATTCACAAATTATTTAAGGTTCCTAAATGTACACCATGCAATCCAAATTAGATTCCATTAAAAAAGTGATAAAATACTATCTTTGACTAAAAAACATACATATACAGATCTGAATGTTATGCAGCAGATAGTTTCTTAATACTGTTTTGAGAGTCGAGCACTTAAGCATTATAGAGGCACAATTATTATGTAAGTGATGAGATGTAATACAACCAAAAGCCAAGATTAAAACTCTATGTAGGAGGAGTCATATATTAAGGGTAAAGTTGCAGGACTTTTCCCACTTGAGGTCCCTGTTTGGTGGCTGATGATCCTAGCCAACTCTGCACAGATTTGCTATTCCAGTTACTCTGACTCTCCTGGGATGGTGTGAACAGCTTGAAGTGGTTGTATCCCATTAAATCCTGGCCAACGCGGACTGCATTCTCAAACGCAGGAAAGGCCAATCAGTATTTTAGGCAGAAGTAACACTCTGATGTTGTGAGCTAGGTTTTACAGACGTGTATTGTTCAAAATGGTATTTACACGTTGGATTCGATGAACGATCGCTTTGGTTTCGCAGCTGCCGCGTGACTCGGGTGGCCCTCCCTGCCCCCGTGGGACGGCTGCTTCGCCGGCGGCTCCGCGTGCGAGCGGGGAGCTGGTTTAGCTGCTCTGCTGTCTGCGCAGGGCGCGGGTGGGGGGCACCTCCCCTCCTCAAGGCCTGCACCTTGCACACCGTTCCGGATGCTGTCGCCTGGGGCGACACCAGTGGAGAAAGTTTTAGTCTGATAATGTTTGACTGGGTAATGCTCAAAATCTGAGGGCTGAACGCCCCCGGAACCAGCATTCATTAATCCTTCTGTTGCCTGAGAATGCCAAGTGCGACTGGATTGGTTATTCTGCTGCTGAAACCTTGCAGTTTTATCCATGATTCCCATAAACGGGGTGTTGCGAGGTCTGTGTTCAGCAGCAGGACCCTGAACTTGATTTACTTTATTCTCCTTGGTTTGAACGTCTGGCCCCAGCCCCTTCATGCTATCTGTAAAGCTACCTGCTGCACTTAAGCTGCTAGTTGAACTAGCCAGAACCATACTGTTGAATGGAGAACTAAACGAGACACCACTGGTCACAGGAATTTGCTGTCTTGCTTCACCGAAACTCACCAGAGCAGGAGTTGTTAACCTGTCAGCAGCTTTAGACTTCCTTGTGGAAGGATGAGAAGAGAGACTCTCACTGTGCTGCGAGTGGGGACACTGGCTGGACTTGCACGGCTCGTTGTACAGACCAGCACTAGCACCAGTGGCAACACTCCCAGATGATAATGTGCCCGAATCATCCAAATACTGAATTTTGTTGCCATTAAGGTTTCCAGAGTGTCGTACTGGCAAAGGGCTTTGCGGAAGACACTGACAAGATGACTTTGTATTACACTGACTGCTTCCTGGTTTTGACGCAGGCTGAATAGAGCTCAGGTGCTGATTAGTTTTTACAATCTGCGCCTGCTTTGTTGGCTGCAGGATCAAGCCTGGCTCTCTCAGGTACTTACTGCCCACTCTGCCTGGTGGGGACACAGGCCT